AAAAAAAAAAAAAAAAAAAAAAACCTTCAAAACATAATTCTAACCCACATGCTTTACTATATCCCAATGGCAACCACTGTGCACCAAAAACCCTCTGCTCATCTCTTGCCAGGACCTCAGCACAGCCTCCTAATGAATCTCCCCAAATCTACTCTTGCCCCTTCCTATTCATTCTCTTTACAATAGCCAGCATAGAATCTTAAAAAGGCAACTCTCCCATTTATACCTTTCAATGGCTTCCTGCTGACTTTAGGAAAAATCCTAAACCCTTCTAATGGCCCACAAGGCCCTGTGTGATCAGTCTGTACCCACCTCTCCAGGCTTACCTTGTGTCTCTCTAGTCCTCCCTCTCTGCCCTGGCCACCCTAGCCTTCCTTTTTTTTTTTCTTTGAGATGGAGTGTCACTCTGTTGCCCAGGCTGGAGTGCAGTGGTGCAATCACAGCTCACTGCAACTCCTACCTCCCGGGTTCAAACAATTCTCCTGCCTGAGCCTCCTGAGTAGCTGCGAATATAGGCACCCATCACCACGCCCGGCTAACTCCTGACCTCAGGTGATCTACCCAGCTTGGCCTCCCAAAAAAACTGGGATTACAGGTGTGAGCCACTGGGGCCTGGCCACCCTGGCCTTCCATTAAAGTCTCCCACACCAAGCTGTCTGCTGCCCTGGGGCCTGCCCACTTGCACTTCTGTCTGGAATATTCTCCCCAACTTGGTCATGCATGCCCATGCCAAGGTCCCCTTATCCTTGAATATCCCCTTTGTGGAGATGTTTCCCTACAGAAAATCAAATTCACGTCCCTGGTTCCATGTTCTCCCAACACTCTACATTTCTCTGCAGCTCAGTTATATTCCATATGTCCACATTGACTGCCATTGTTTCTTGTTCAATTCCCAGCTCCTCCAGGAGACCACCAAGACAACAAGCTCTACAAGAACAGGAGTGTGGCTGCTTAGTTCACTGCCAGGTTTCTAGCACTGAGCCAGGAACCTAGCCTTTAGTGACTGCTTCGTAAGGTGCGACTGAACACCCACCACTGTGGTGGCCAAGAGGACAGCTTCTCACAGGGTGGTTGGTCTGGGAATTTCCTCTGGCACACTGTCAGAGGTTCCTGACATACCCTGCCTCTAAGAAGGCTCTTCTGGGAAAAACTAGGCAGCCTGAATGCCTTTCCCAGTTACTGCCACAACCACTCACCCCACCCTGAGGTCACATCCACATCACCACCTTAGTCACTCATTTCCAATCTCTTCTACCATTCCTTTTAAGGGCTGGTCTCCTCTGTTACTCACAATTTCTTAGACAATAACCTTGATCAGGCAGGGTGGCTCACGCCTGTAATCCCAGTACTTTGGGAAGCTGAGGTGCTGGAATTACAGGCATGAGCCACCATGCCTGGTCTCCTGGCAACTATTAAAAGAAGAGCAACTATCTGTCAATATGCCTTCTTCATCATAAGGTGAAAGTAAGCACTGTGGCTTGTTCATCACCAGATCCTCATCAGAGAGCACACAATTTGGCATATGGTAGATGCTTAGTGTTTGCTGTAAAAAGAAGTTAATGGAGGCTGGGTGTGGTGGCTCATGCCTGTAATCCCAGCACTTTGGGAGGCCAAGGTGGGCGGATCACTTGAGGTAAGGAGTTCAAGACCAGCCTGACCAACATAGAGAAACCCCATCTCTAGTAAAAACACAAAATTAGCTGGGTATGGTGGCACATGCCTGTAATCCCAGCTACTCGAGAGGCTGAGGCAGGAGAATTGCTTGAACCCAAAAGGCGGAGGTTACAGTGAGCTGAGATCGCGCCACTGCACGCTAGCCTGGGCAACAACAGCGAAGCTCCATCTCAAAAAAAAATAGAAGTTAATGGACCAAGTGCAACAAGAGCTATGACCCAGTTCATGCTTCAGTCACAGCAGAACTCCATCCCAGCCGAAGTGTATTTAAAGTGCTTTGTTATCATTCAAGTTTGGTTTTGGAGGAGACCTCCATTCTCTGGCTTATCCCATAAAGGACTAGAAGCCCTGTAGCCAACTTGCATGGGAGCTACCACTTGAGTGAACAAGATTCAGATAAGGAAGCAACAGGAGAGGAAGTTGAGCCCAATTCTGGATACTGATTAGGAGATAATTTGTAGGCAACAGGGATTCCTGAGTGGCTTTTGAGTCAAAGGGTAACACGGCCATAGCTGTGCTTAATAACAGCACTTGGGAAACAGAAGGTGTACTGGAGGGTAGAAGACAAAGAGGAGATAGGGAGCTGGATTAGAAGGAAGGTAAAAGGGTCCAGGCATACTACAGTGACAATGACTGAAAATACAATTACCTGCGCAACAGCCTTGCTACAGGTGGGAACATGGAGAAACAATGAAGGAATACTAACAGCACTTTTTTTTTTTTTTAAAGATGGGGTTTCACCATGATGGCCAGGATGGTCTTGAACTCCTGACCTCAGGTGATCCACCCACCTCGGCCTCCCAGTGCTAGGATAACAGGTGTGAGCCACCGCACCCAGCCTAACAGCACTTTTTATTGTTGTAATGCCTTGCAATTCCCAAAGTGCTTCAATTATAACTGTGATTCTCAAGCCTGGTTACATCTGGAGAGGTTTTTAACAATTCCAGTTTCTAGGCTGTGCGCAGTGGCTCACATCTGTAATCCCAGCACTTTGGGAGGCCAAGGCAGGCTGATCAGCTGAGGATAGGAGTTCTAGACCAGCTTGGCCAACATGACAAAACTTCATCACTACTAAAAATACATAAATTAGCCAGGTGTGGTAGCATGTACCTGTAATCCCAACTACTGGGGAGGCTGAGGCAGGAGAGTCACCTGAACATGGGAGGCAGAGGTTGCAGTGAGTCAAGATTACACCACTGCAATCTAGCCTGGGTGACACAGCAATACCCTGTCTGGGCCTTACCCCAAATCAATTAAATCAGAATGTAAACTCCACAAGGGCAGGGATTTTGTCTGTTTTGCTCACTGTCAGTGCCTGGCACATGCATGGTGCTCAGGAAGTATTTGTTGAATGAATTAATGAATGACTATACCATTATTAACTGAGATCCAAGGAACCCATCAAGCTCCTGTTCCCAGGAGCTTAGATTTTTTCACAATAAGTATACCTTTCCTATTTCTAAAGCACTGCTTATAAAAAGTATCTCAAGAAACCAATTAGAAGTTACTCAGTGTCTACTGTGAGTGAGGGGGAAAAAGGGTAGGCAATGACTAGTGATCTCACAAGAAGAAATTAGAGCCCGTGGGCACAGACAGGCTCAGGCAAGCTTTAGCCCCTGTGAGATTTTTTGGTAATCATATTGTAAGGGCTCCAGTATAATGGGAAAACAACTATATATTAACAAGCTACCCTACCCTGGACATTTGAACAGAACCCAAAAACCCAAATACACATACATACCTATTTTTTTTTTTTCTGATACTTCAGAATTACTTTGATATATTCATTCTGGCTTTGTACAAGGAATTCTTTGTTTTATATCTCAAAAACAGTGGCACATGGAAATGGATGAAACCTGTTGGGATAAACATCCAAGGAACTTTTTTTTTTGAGACGTTGTCTCACCCTGTCGCCCAGGCTGGAGTGCAATGGCACGATCTCGGCTCACTGTAACCTCTGCCTCCCGGTTTCAAGATTCTCCTGCCTCAGACTTCCTAGTTGCTGGGATTACAGGCATGAACCTAGACCCAAAGAACTATTTAGATAAGGAGGAGACCTGAGTTTGTGGAAAGCATCATAAAAGTAACATGGAATTAGGCCGGGTAAGGCAGCTCATGCTTGTAATCCCAGTACTTTGGGAGGCCAAGGCGTGTGGATCACAAGGTGAGGAGTTCCAGACCAGCCTGGGCAACATGGTGAGGCCCCATCTCTACTAAGAATACAAAAATTAGTCAGGCATGGTAGCATATGCCTGTAATCCCAGCTACTCAGATGGCTGAGGCAGGAGAATCCCTTGAACCCTGAAGGCAGAGGTTACAGTGAGCCAAGATTGCACCACTGTACTCCAGCCTGGCTGACAGAGTGAGACTGTTTCCAAAAAAGAAAAAAGAAAAAGAAAAGTCTCCAGCCATTGTCAAATGTGGTGACAGGGAAAGGCCAAAATCACCCTTGTTTTAAAACCACTACCCTGCCAGGCGTGGTGGCTCACGCCTGTAATCCCAGCGCTCTGGGAGGCCAAGGTGGCTGGATCACGAGGTCAGGAGTTGGCGACCAGCCTGACCAACATGGTGAAACCCCATCTCTACTAAAAATACAAAAATTAGCTGGGCGTAGTGGCACATGCCTGTAATCCCAGCTACTCAGAAGGCTAAGGCAGGAGAATTGCCTAAACCTGGGAGGCGGAAGCTGCAGTGAACCAAGATCGTGCCACTATACTCCAGCCTGGGCAACAGAGTGAGACTTCATCTCAAAAAAAAAAACACTACCTTATCCAATGACTATTGATTCACCCATTACTACTCCAAATGTCCTCTTAGTACTTGCAGATGTTTTCTTGTGGGGAAAAGGCCTCTCTTTTCCTCTAGTTTATCTAATAACTCTCCAGAAAGTCTAATTATGTAGCACAAGGGTACAGTCTATTTAAAACTGTGACAGTTTTTCCTCATACTAGTCCAAAAAAACAAAGTTTTTATCTTGTCAATGATATTTGGAGACATTAAAATGTTTTCTCCAGATGTTATGAGCCTCCCAGAGTGTTAATCCATAAATATTTACCTTATCTCCCACCCCGGGCACTGCAGACTACAGAAAAGATCTGACACCCATTTTCCAGATCTGTTCAAGAAGTATCTGTTGTGCACGGTGGCTCATGCCTGTAATCCCATCATTTTGGGAGGCCAAGGTGGGTAGATCGCTTGAGGCCAGGAGTTTGAGACCAGTCAGGCCAACATGGTGAAACCCTGTCTTTACTAAAAATACAAAAACTTAGCTGGGTGTGGTGGTGCGCACCTTTAGTCCCAGCTACTCGGGAGGCAGAGGCAGGAGAATTGCTTGAACCTGGGAGGCGGAGGTTGCAATGAGCCAAG